GGACACCGGCAGCAGCGAGCCGCGGCGGGGGCGCAGGGGCACGGGGACACGCTCCGCAGGGGGACATTCCGAGCAGGGAAAACGTGACACCCCGGGCAGAGGGACACCCCTGGCAGAGGGACATGTCCTGGGAAAGGGGACACCGCGGCAACGGGATATTCCCGGGCAAGGGGGACACCGCGGGCAGAGAGCCTTCGCTGGAAAGGAGAACGTGCCGGGCTGAAGGACTTCCCTGGAGCGGAGGACGTCCTGGGAAAGGGGACATCCTGGGAAAGGCGACATCCTGCGTTGTTCTCTACAACCCGGGCAGGCGGACACGCCGGGCAAGGGATAGAGCTCGGGCAAGGGGACACGGGGGACATGGACTCGTATCCTGGCCTGGGGGCACAGGGATAGGGAGAGAGTGGGAGGGGAACAGCCTCAGGATAGACAGAGGTTCCCGGGACTGCGAGGGACAGGAGGGGACACAGAGGGAACCGAGGATCTGTATCCCGGTCCTGGGCGCGCAGGGACAGCCTGGGGACCCGGGAGGACACGAGGGGACAGGATGCTTGGTAGAGCCCAGGGATATCCCCACCCGGGGACTCTGGGGACACCGTCGGGAGCAGCACCGGGCGGTTGCCGGGAGATTGTCGCCACGCTGAGGTCCCCGGGGACACCCCGAAGGGCGTGTCCCCACCGGGGACACGGGGGAGGGTGACACATTTGTGCCACCGCTCGTGGACGGTGGCAGTGGCAGGGATGGGGTCATGGCTGTCCCTTGTCCACACTGGCTGTGCCATGCCTTGCCACGCCGTGCCATTCCCTGGGTGCCATTCCCAGGGTGCCACGCCGTGCCACGCCATGCCATTCCCCGCGTCCCATTCCATGTCGTGCGGGGAGGTCGCGAATAGCTCCCGGGACCTGCCCTGACATTTCTGCTTCGCGGTGTCAGTTTTACACCCGGCCCCGGGTGACCCCGGGCTGGCCCCGTCCCTGCCTCCGGACGCTTGTCCCCTACCCCCGTCCCTATCCCCGTCCCTTGTCCCACTCCCTACCCGAGTCCCTTGTCCCCGTCTCCCAGCGGTGGCACCCCGGTTCCGCCACCCTCACCTCCGCTGCCCCCTTTGTTCTGCCACCCCCTTCGGTGTCCCGGTCCCCCCGGTGCCCCCGGTCCCGCCCCGCCCCGCCCCGCCCGAGCAGGACACGGCACCGCCGCCACCGCCGGGACCGGAGCGGGCAGAGCCGCTGCTGGGGCTGCGACAGCACCGGGACCGACACCGGGAAACCCCACCAGACCCCGACACCGCCGGGACCGGAGCGAGCAGAGCCGCTCCACTGCCGGGTGCGACAACACCAGGACAGACCGGCACCGACAGACACCGGCACCGGCACCGGTGGGTGCTGAAGGCAGCGGGGGTGATCTGGGTGGGCTTGGGGGTGCCGGTGCCGGGGGGCGGGAGCAGCGGGATGGGGGTCGGGGTGCGTGTGCACACCTGCGACACGGTGCCGGTGACAGCGCAGGTGACAGGTGGGTGATGATGTTCACGACACGGTGAGGGTGACAGGGTGCAGGTGACGGTGCGGTGACATGGTGCGGGTTATGGGGTCTGGGTGGCAGTGCGGGTGACAGGTAGGTGATATGAGTGACAAGTGGCGGGTGACAGATGCAGGTGACAAGGTGCCGGCGATGGTGCGGTGTCGCCGTGTGGGTGACGAGGTGTGTGACAGGTGCGGGTGACAAGACCCTGGTGGTGGTGCAGGTGACGGTGCGTGGTGGGCTGTGTGTGACAGGGCGCACGTGACAGTTCAGGTGACAATGAGGGTGGCAGGGTGCAGGGGGTGGCGCGGGTGGCAGGCAGCGGGTGACAGCGCGTGCAGGACTCTGCAGCACGGCAGCCGCGCTGGTGGCCCCGTGCCTGCCGGTGGCCGTGACGGTGACAGTGACAGTGACGCCGCGGGCAGCTGGAACTAAGCCGGGGGACGTGCGTACTGGCAGCTCCGCCACGCTGGGGACAGGGGGACAGGGCGGGGGGGAGGACGAGGGGCGTGCCCAGCCAGGGGACGCGGGACAGGGGGACAGGAGAGCCCGGCCAGGCTGATCCTCCCCCCGGCTCCCGCTGAGGCAGCTCGCTACTGACGGGGACAGGGACACGGACAGGGGTGCCAGCGCCTGGCGCGAGGTGGCAGAGGGGACAATGAGGCTCTGTGTCGCCTAATCCGGGGCACGGGGCCGGGGGTTGGCACCCCGGGGTGGCGCGGGGGGGTTTAAAGGCCAGACCGGCCGGCGTCCCCTGTGCCAGGCGTCCCCGAGCCCTCGTCCCCTGCGAGCTCTCAGGCCACGGCTCCCACCCCAAGGTACCGGGCGACACAGCTGTCCCAGCTTGGGGACAGCAGCAGCACCTCCCAGCTGGGGATGGAGGGGGACAGCGCGGTCCCGCGGCTGGGGGGGCGCGGACCTTGAGGGACCCCCGTGACTGGGTTTTGGGGGGCCCTTGTGCCACGCCACCGAGCCGTGTGTCCCCTAACGCTGTCACCGGGTGCCAGGCTTGGGGATATCCTGGCTGCCAGCGGGCACCGCTCAGCTCCGTGCCTCAGTTTCCCTCTGTGCCCAGCTCTGCCGGGCACCTGCTGGGAGCGAAGGCACCAGGGGGGTGGGGACAACCGGTCCCTGGGTCTGCACCCCCAGGGCACCTTGGCACCCCCGGGATGGGGAGGTGCCCCCGGCTGTGCTGAGCTGGCACGGGATTACACTAAGCCGGAGGTGCCGGGGCCACCGGGGCTGGCACCAAGGGAACAACCTGAGGCCACCGTGACTGGCACCAAGGGGTCAATCTGGGGCCACCAGACCTGTCAAAGAGGGGACGAGCTGGGGCCACAGGGACTGGCACCGAGGGGTCAGTGCGGGGACACTGAGACTAGCGCTGAGGGGACAACATGAAGACAGCGGAGCTGGCACCGAGGTGTGCCCCAAGAAGGGTGCCAGGCTCTGGTGGGTGCTGCAGGACAGGTCTCTCCACGGGAGCTGGGCTTGGGGCTCCCAGCACCGGCCGGGGGCGGCCAGGGAGGGGTGGCAAGTCCCCAGGGAGCCGCGCTGACTCTGCCTGTCCTTCTCTTGCAGCCCCTCTGTCACCAGGATGGTGAGTGGCCCCCGGGTGGGGGGGTCCGGGCGGAGGTGGATGCCCCATCCCGGGATCCCGGCGGTGCCGGGCACTGGCGTGGGGCAGCGGGCAGCGCAGCGTGCTGTGCCCACCCGCCGCGTGACCCCGCGGGGACAAGGGGACGCTTTGTCCGGGAGCTGGCGGCCCCGGCGGCTGGCACTGCCCCGTTGTCCCCGAGGTGGTGGCGCCGCGCCCGGCGCCTGCAGCCCCCCAGCACCCCGACGCCCCCACCCCACGGGTGGGCAGCGGCGCCCGCTGTGTCCTGTGTCAGCCCCCCCGTGTACGCCCCGTGCCCACACGGGGTCTGTCCCCGTGCCAGCTCCGTGCCAGACCCGTGCCAGCCCCTTAACCCCACGCCAGCCCCATACCACCCCCTTACCCCCGTGCCAGCCCCGTGCCAGCCCTGTCCCTGCTCCCGCAGCTCTCGACGTCCCAGCCGAGCACGGAGCGGGTGCCCAGCCCGGAGGAGCAGGAGTGGGCAGGGCCCGAGGCGCTGTGCCCAGGCTGGCTGGAGGACGAAGCCCCCGATGGCGAAGTGCCCGGGGACAGTGGGGACCCCGACTGTGCCACCCACGCCTACGAGCGGCTCCAGAGCGCCCTGTGCCAGGAGGGGCTGCCCCCCACGCTGGACTGCTCCGCGGAGCCCCGCACGGGTTGGGGACACGGGGGGCACGGTGCCAGGCTGGGACACGGGGGTGGCAGGGACTGGGGTGGGGATGGGGGAATGGTGCCAGGCTGGGACACGGGGGTGGCAGGGACAGTGATGTGGGCGCAGTGCCAGGCTGGGACACGGGGGTGGCAGGGACAGCGATGTGGGCGCAGTGCCAGGTTGGGACACGGGGGTGGCAGGGACAGTGATGTGGGCGCAGTGCCAGGCTGGGATAATGGGGTGGCAGGGATAAGGGTGGCAATGGGGATATGGTGCCAGGCTAGGGACACGAGGAGTTTTGGGGTTCCCAGCCACACTGGGGTGCCAGGGTCCCGATCCCGGGGCTGTTAACCCTTCCCTTCCTGGCAGGATATGGCCCGCTGGACATGACCGTTTGCATCCTGGGCTCCCCCACCCCCTTCCTGCCTGTCCTGCTGGAGGGTGGCACCCGCTGCCCAGGTGGGTGTGGTCCTCTTGTCCTCACCCTACATGAGACACCCCTGAGCCAACAGCAGGGATCCCCACACCCGCCTGTGCTGCCTGACCAGAACTGTGAGGGAAACTGAGGCAGGGGAGGAGGGTGGCAGCAGCCCCCCGCGTCCCGTTAATCCCAGTACACACCAGTTCGGCAGCAAGTGCCTGCCCCCCTCCCCGCAGCACCACCCCCGTGGGGGGCAGTTTGGGGTGCGGGGTGCCCACCGCCCACCTCCCTGCCCTCCCGCAGGTGCTGTGGTGCTGTGTCTGTCCCCCACCTGGGCCAGCCGGGTGCCATCGGAGACGTCCCCAGGCGCCTGGTCCCTGCTGCTCTCCCGGGGCGTCTCCTTCAAGGTGGGGGGGCACAGCGCCCTGGAGACCTTCGTGCCCCCGCGCCGCGCCAACTACGTGACGGGCACCTTCGCGCCGGGGGACCCCGAGGGCGGCTGGGTGGGCGAGCTGGCCCGTGACCTCGACTGCCCCACGGGGGGCTCGGTCCCGCTCGCCCACCGGCTCGAGGACACGCTGGTCACCCGCTGGGTGCTGGCGGCTCGCGCCAAGCTGCCCGTGCCCCCCACCCTGGCCTTTGTCCTGGGGGCCAGGGGGGACCTGCCCGCCGAGCCCGCGGCCCCCGGGGTGAGGCTGGTGCGGCTGGAGGACCCCCAGGGCCAGCAGAGCCTGGTGCAGGAGGAGGTGGGCGCCTTCCTGGGGGGCACCGCCATGGAGCCCTACGGCCAGGTGGGCACGGGAGGCGTTGGTGGCACCGGGTGGGGGACATGGAGAGGCACGGGGGTGAATGTAGGTGGCGGGGTGGCTGTTAGGGGGGCGGCCGGGTGGCATTGGGGAGGGGGGATGCAGGCGGTGGGGTGGCACGGGGTGACACGGGGCTGCACTCAGGTGGCGGGCCGGCTGTAGGGGTGGCACCAGGTGGCACGGGGTGACACGGAGGTGCACGCAGGTGGTGGTGCGGCCGGCGGGGTGGCGGTGGCGGGGGACAGGCGCCCGCAGCACCCACAGGAAGGAGGAGGGGGCGGCGGTGGCGCAGGCGGTGGGTGCCCGGCTCCGGGGGCTGACGGAGGAGGACAGCGTCCTGCTGGAGGCCATGGTGCCCACCGCCCGCCTGCCCGTGCCCCCCCCACGTAAGGCCCCCGCCCTCGGGCACCCACCACCCTGGGAGGGGGGGGAAGAGTCCCCCGGGGTCCCACGGGTCCCCGCAGCTGTGCAGCCACGTGTCTGTCCCCCAGGGCGGGGGGGTGGGGGCCATCGGGGTACCCAAATTAATGGAGTCCTGCAGGGGGGCACGAGGGTCACCCCGGATGCCCACAGTCCCCTGGGTTAGGGTTGGGGGACAGTTTGCCACCTTGGACCCCTAGAGACCCATGAGGAGAGGTGGGGAAGGTCACCCTGGATCCCCATGGTCCCCTATGGTTGGGGGAATGTCATCCTGGACCCCCACGGTCCCTTGGGGATGAGCAGGGTGTTGGGGTGACCCCCTTTGACTCCTGACAGTCCCGTGGGGTTGGGAATGACAGCGGCCATGCTGTACCCCTCAATCCCTGGGGCTGGGCTTGACCGGGGCCACCACGGTGCCACAGGGAGTCCCAAAAAGCCCCAGAGGAGGGGGAGGTCGGGCAGGGCCGTCCCGTCCCCGCGTGGCGGCCGTGCCTGCCCTGTCCCTTGCCCCCCAGGCAGCCCAGCCCCGCGGCTGCCCATGGCCCTGCGCATCTGCACCCTCGTCTGCAGGTCCTGGGGGGACCGGCCCCAGCTCTGCCAGGTACGGCGTGTCCCCACACCCCGGCGGCTCTGTGTGTCCCCAGCCTATGATGGCTGTCCCCATGTCCTGGTGGCCCTCTATGCCCCCGGGCTATGGTGGCAGTCCTGTGCCCAGACCGTGGTAATCTCTGTGTGCTATGCCCTGTGTGCCTGTCCATGTGCCCATGCCCTGGTGGCCCTGGGTGTCCCCAAGATTGGTGGCCATCCACATCCATGCCTTGACTCAATGCGTCACCCCACATCCCTGCACCCTGGTGGCAGCTGCATCCCCAGGCTATGGGTTGGCAGCCAACGCCCCCATACCCCGGTGGCAGCCGGTGTCCCCACACACGCGTGGGTGTCCCCGTGTCCCCACAGGTGGCCTGCGCCGTGGGACGCGCGGAGAGCCCGGTGCGTCACGGCGCGGCGCTGCCCCAGGGCCTGGACTCCAGCCTGCAGCAATGGGGGGTGGCGGCCCCCAGCCAGCGGCAGGGGCTGGCCACACGGCTGCGGGAGGCCACCGAGGCCGCCGCGGCCGCCCTGCTGGCCAGCGAGGCCGAGCTGAGCCCGCGGCAGCGCGGCGGCAGCCGTGCCCGCACCGACATCCTGGGTGAGCACGGCGCGGGTGACGCCGCCGGTGCCCGCGGTCACCCGCGGTGCCGAGCGCGGTGTCACCGTCACCATCCCCATCCCCATCCCCAGGCGTGGACTTCCTGCTGGCCTGCGTGGATGACGCGCTGGAGCTGGTGGCCCTGGCCAGCAACGGGCAGCGGTGCCTGGAGACCTGCGTGCTGGCCGAGGCCATGGGGCGCGGCGTGGGCGAGCCCCGCGGGGACCTGCCGCGGCTGCTGGCCGAGGCCATGCTGCACCGGGCGCAGTGCCACCTGGTCGAGGGCAAGGACATCCTGCTCATCGGGGCCGGGGGCGTCAGCAAGAGCTTCGTGTGGGAGGCGGCTCGCCACTACGGGCTGAGGGTGAGGGGCTCGGGCCGGCAGCGGGCTCGGGGTGGCGGGGGCCGGCACAGCCGCGGATCCGGGTGTCCCTCGGTGACGCCTCTCTGGGGCCGCAGATCCACCTGGTGGAGTCGGACCCGGAGCACTTCGCGGCGGAGCTGGTGCAGACCTTCCTGCCCTACGACAGCCGGGAGCACCGGCGGGACGAGGAGCACGCGGAGCGGGTGCTGGAGCTGCTGCGCTCCCGGGGGCTGCGGCCCCACGCCTGCCTCTCCTACTGGGACGACTGCGTGGTGCTGGCGGCCCTGGTGTGCCAGGGGCTGGGGCTCCGCGGCCCCGCGCCCGCCGCCGTGCGGGTGGCCAAGCAGAAGAGCCGCACGCACCGGCACCTGCAGCGCTGCCGCCGCGGCCGCCCGCCGCCCGCCGCCTTCTCCGTGCCCTGCCGCCGCCTGCGGAGCCACGGCGACGTGGAGCGGGCGGCGGGCGCCGTGCCCTTCCCCGCCGTGGCCAAGCTGGAGTTCGGCGCGGGCGGCGTGGGCGTGCGGCTGGTGGAGGACGCCGGGCAGTGCCACGCTCACGCCGCCCGGCTCTGGAGGGACCTGCGCGACGACGCGGACCACCCGGGCATCGGGCTGGGCTGGGGCAACGCCATGCTGCTCATGGAGTACGTGCCGGGCACCGAGCACGACGTGGACCTGGTGGTCTTCGAGGGGCGGCTGCTGGGCGCGTGGGTGTCGGACAACGGCCCCACGCGTGTCCCCGCCTTCCTGGAGACGGCGGCCTGCCTGCCCTCCTGCCTGCCCGCCGACCGGCAGGCGCAGCTGGTGCGGGCGGCGCTGGAATGCTGCCGGGCGTGCGGGCTGCGCGACGGCGTCTTCAACGTGGAGCTCAAGCTGGGGCCGGCGGGGCCGCGCCTGCTGGAGATCAACCCCCGCATGGGGGGCTTCTACCTGCGCGACTGGATCCGCGAGGTCTACGGCCCCGACCTGCTGCTGGCCGCCGTGCTGGTGGCGCTGGGCGTGCCGCCCGTGCTGCCCGCCCGCCCCGCGGCCCGCACGCACCTGGCCGGGGTGATGTGCCTGGGGTCGGAGCACGGCGAGACCCTGGCGGGCGGCGGGGGCATGGAGGCTCTGCGGGAGCTGCACGGCCGCGGGCTCGTCCGCCTCAACCGGCTCTTCGAGGAGCCCGAGGGGGCCGGGGAGTACGAGGAGCCGCTGCTGAGCGTGGCGTGCGCCGGGGCCACGCTGGCCGAGGCCTGCGAGCGCCTGCTGGGGCTCTGCCAGGGGCTGGGCATCGACTCCCCGCGATATCCCGTGGAGCATTTCTTGTCCCACTTCAAATAGCACCGGGCAGGCAGCGGGGAGAGCGGGGGAATGGGTGTCCCGGCGCACCGGGCACCCGCTCCCGCCGCCCCGCCGCCCCTCCCCGGCATCCCCCCGGCACCCTGTCCCGCTGTCCCCCCATCCCGTGGACTGGCACACCATGTCCTGGCACCCCCGTATCGCCCTGGATCCCAGCCACCTGCCCTGCCACCCCATTGCCTGGCATTCCCCTTTGTCCTGGCGGCCCATCCCTTGGCATCCCCTCACTCCCCTGGCAGCCCATCCCCTGGCATCCCCTTGCTCCCCTGGCAGCCTATCCCCTGGCATCCTGACATCCCATCCACTGGGATCCTCCTATTAACCTGGCACTCCATCCCCTGGCACCCCCCGACTCTCCTGATGCCCCATTCCCTTGCATCCTGAAACCCCATCTCCTGGCACACCCCCCCCCTCCCCACTACTCTGACACCCCAATCCCCGGCATCACCCATGTCCTGGCACCACATTCCCTGCCATCCCCTTCCATCCTGGCACTTCATCCTTCCATCAGACTGACACCCCTCACCTGCCTCCCCCTCTTTCAGTCCAGGCACCCCCATCCCCTGGCACTCCTCCATTACTCCAGCACCCCCTCCCCCTGCCCTAGCACCACATTCCCTGTCCCCACTGCCCTGTCCCTACAGTCTCTATCCCCTGTCCCTGAAGCTGGGGACACACAGGGGGACACTGACACCCGCTGATCCCGTGCCATCCCCAGGGTGGGGCAGCCAGGACCCCCGGAGGCACCCAGGCCTCCCCATGAGAGCAGCAGGTGGAGCGTGAGGTGTGTTGGCACCTGCTGGCATGGGGAGACCCTACAATAACAAACCATTATGGGGAGACCCCGTAATGGCAAAGAATTACTGGAACGTCCCATAACAACAAAGAAACGTGGGGAGACCCCGCAATAACTCACCAGCAAGGGGAGACCCCACAGTAACAGACTGAGGTGGGGAGACCCCACAATGACACTCTCAAAGGAAAGACCTCACAATAACAAACTGGCATGGGGAGACCCTACAATAACTGACCTACAATGGGAGACCCTACAAAAATAGAGGGATACCCAGGAACTCCCTGGAGCAGCTCAGAAAACCCTCTGGGAAGACTTGTGTGACATGATATAGGGTTGTCACTGGGGAGGCCCTACAGTTACACCAGTGACTCTACACTAACACCCAGCCCCTGTAATGTCCGAGATCCTACAATAACACCAGCCACTCTCCAATAACACAGACCCCCTGCAGTGCCCCGACCCTACAATAACAGCAGTGACCCTACAATAACACCCAGATCCTACAGCCCTCACGTCCCTACAACAACACGGAGATCCTACACTAACACAGAGCCCCTGTAGTGCCTGAGAGCCTGCAATAACACACAGCCACTTTAGTGCCTGAAACCCCCCAATAAACCCCAGTCCCCGCAGTGTTCCGACCCTACAATAACACCAGAGACCCTACAATAATACCAGCGACCCTACAATAACACCAGAGACCCTACAATAACACCGGAGACCCTTCAATAACACACAGCCCCTGCAGTAACACCAGAGCCCCTGCAATAACACGCAGCCCCACAACCACCCCAGTGCCCCGCAGCCCCACTCGTGCCCCCCAGCCCCGCGGGAACCCCGGGCGGGATCTCCGCCTGGGGTCACCGGGATGTCCCCCTCGCTCCCTGCCCCCTGCTCTGACGTGGCGGCGGCGGCGCTGACGCCGTGGCGGGGCGGGGCGGGCCCCAGTAAAGGCTGTGAGCGGCCGCGCTGCCTCTGTCGTGCTCCCTGCGCCCCCCGGGACCCCGGCCCCGTGTCCCCGCGCAGGGGACACCCGGTGACGCGGGGGGCGTGGCCCGCGGGGGCGTGGCCAGCGCGGCGGGTTCCCCGGGCCCCGATAGGCGGGGTCGGGGGCGTGGCGGGGGCGTGGCCCCGGTGGGGGCGTGGCCATCGGGGCGGGTCCCCGGGGGTCCCGGCGCGGCGCCGTCATGGCGGGGGTGTTCGACATCGACCTGGAGACCGAGGAGGGCAGCGACGGGGACGAGCCCGAGCTGGGCGCCGTGAGCCGGCAGCGGGGCGCGGGGGAGGCACCGGGGCTGCGGCCGGCAGCGGGGCTGGGGCGGGGGGCGCCGCGGGGACGGGGGGCACCGGGAGCGGGACGGGCGGTGGAGGCGGTGAGCGGCACCGGGGCGCGGTGGGGACGGCGGGATCGCGGGTGTCGGGCGTGCGTGGGGTCCGCTGGGTGCCGGGAACGGCGGGCAGGGGCTTGGGGGACAGCGACAGGGGCAGTGACAGGGGTCCCGCCGGTGGCGGGACAGGGGTGTAGCCGGGCTGTCCGCGGGGACGGGGCGCCGGGGCACCGGGATCAGCCGCGGATCCCGGGTGGGCAGCGGGCGTCTCCCGCTGGGCAGGGCCCGGCCTCGGCCCCAAAACATCCGGCTGGGCCGGCTCGGCGCTGCCTCGCCCCGCGCTGCCGTGTCCTGCCCGTGTCCCGCCCGTGCCGTGCCCGTGTCCTGCCCGCCGTGGCTGCCCTCCTTGCCATGTGTCCCCTGCTTGCCGTGGGTCCTCTCTCTGCTGTGTCTCCCCTTCCTGCCCTGTGTCCTCTCCTTGCCATGCCCGCTGCTCCACCCCTGCCCACCTCTGACCGCGCGTTCCCACCCGCAGGAGATGGAGCTGGAGCCCCGGGGAAACGGCCTGGAGTAAGTGGGGGACAGCCTGCGGGGGCGTACGCGGGAAGGGGACAGGCAGGGGACAGGCAGGGGGCTGTCCCCGCTCACCCCCTCTCCCGCCAGGCCGGTGGGACACTATGAAGAGATCGAGATTTCCGAGAGCAGCGTCAACAATGGCCCCGAGCACATCGGCCCGCACTGCTTCGAGCTGCTCCGCGTCCTGGGCAAGGGTGGCTACGGCAAGGTGGGGACGCGGCGGGGCTGGGGGACTCTGGGGGGTTCCATTGCTCCCCGACGGCGTCCCCAGCCTTTCCTGCCCGTCCTTCAAGGTGTTCCAGGTGCGCAAAGTGCAGGGCACCAACACGGGAAAGATCTTCGCCATGAAGGTCCTGAAGAAGGTAGGGCCGCCCCGGCCTCCCCAGCCCCCCGGGGACCCCCCCACTCCGCTCACTGCCTCCCCCCCAGGCCAAGATCGCCTGCAACGCCAAGGACACGGCGCACACCCGGGCAGAGAGGAACATCCTGGAGGCCGTCAAGCACCCCTTCATCGTCGACCTCATCTACGCCTTCCAGACGGGCGGCAAGCTCTACCTCATCCTGGAGTGCCTCAGCGGTGCGGGCTGGCTCGGGGGTCCCGGGGACTGCTCCAGGGATGGCTACGAGTTGTCCCAGGGGTGGCTCAAGAGGTTCCAGGGGTGGCTCAGGATGTCCAGGGACAGTTAAAGTGTAACCTGGTGTGGCTACAGTGTTCAGGGATGGTTTAAGGGTGTCCCAAGATGGCTACAGAGTGTCTCAGGATGGCTCACATGTTCCCAGGGGTGATTAAGGAGTGTCCAGGGATGGCTCAGGAGGGTCCCTCTTGGGCTCTCTATGCAGGTGGAGAGCTCTTCATGCAGCTGGAGCGGGAAGGGATCTTCCTGGAGGACACTGCCTGGTAGGGATGTGGTAGTGGGGGTGTGGATGGGGTGGGCGCCCATACATCGCTCACAGCCACCCCGATCCTGCTGCAGTTTCTACCTGAGTGAGATCACGCTGGCGCTGGGTCACCTGCATTCCCACGGGATCATCTACCGGGATCTTAAGCCGGAGAATATCATGCTCAACAGCCAAGGTGGGTTTGGGGGGCAAACTGGGGAGCCTGGAGGTTCTTTGGGGGCAGCGCTGATCCCCCTGTGTCCCTCAGGTCACATCAAGCTGACGGACTTCGGGCTGTGCAAGGAGTCCATCCACGACGGAGCCGTCACCCACACCTTCTGCGGCACCATCGAGTACATGTGAGGTGGATGCAGCACTGGGGGGAATTTGGGGGGTCTGTCCCGGCTCCCCATCCGCTCAGGGCCCCCTCCTGCACCCCCCAGGGCCCCCGAGATCCTGGTGCGGAGTGGGCACAACCGGGCGGTGGACTGGTGGAGCCTGGGCGCCCTGATGTACGACATGCTCACCGGATCGGCAAGTCCCGCTGCTGCTCCTTCCTCCCTGGGAACTGGGGGGGCATCCCGGGGTGACCCCGAGCCTCCCTGGCCCGCCTGGCTCCTCACGGCCCCGCCGTGTCCCCACAGCCGCCGTTCACCGCCGAGAACCGCAAGAAGACCATCGACAAGATCCTCAAGGGGAAGCTGGTGCTGCCGCCCTACCTGACACCCGACGCTCGTGACCTCCTCAAAAAGGTGGCCCCCCCAGATTTCCCTCACCCACCTCCCCCCACCTTTATTTACGTAGCTCCCATTCCCATCTCTATCCCTGTCTCTCTCCCAGTTCCTCAAGCGGAACCCCAGCCAGCGGGTTGGGGGCGGCCCCGGTGACGCGGCTGATGTGCAGGTACTGGGGCTGGGTGGGCAGGCGGTGCCATGGACACCCCCCAAATCCTGCCTGACACCCCCAAACCCCACAGAAACAGCCTTTCTTCCGCCACATCAACTGGGAGGACCTGCTGGCGCGCAGGCTGGACCCCCCCTTCAAACCCTGCCTGGTAGGGGGGGCCGAGGGGGGAGGCCGGGAACGTTTTGGGGGGCTCTGTGGGAGCAGCCGCCGTGTTCCCCGCAGCAGTCAGAGGAGGACGTGAGCCAGTTCGACACCCGCTTCACCCGCCAGACCCCCGTGGACAGCCCCGACGACGCCGCCATCAGTGAGAGCGCCAACCAGGCCTTCCTGGTAGGGGGGCACAGCCTGAGGGGGGACCCCTGGCACGCCCAGGACCCCCCGGTGACACCCCCAAACCCACAGGGCTTCACCTACGTGGCCCCCTCGGTGCTGGAGAGCATCAAGGAAGGGTTCTCCTTCCAGCCCAAGGTGCGCTCCCCCCGCCGCCTCAACAGCAGCCCCCGCACCCCCGTCAGGTACTGGGGCACAGGGGGCCAGGGGGTGCTTTAGGGTGGGGGCTGTGGGATGGAGGTGTTTTGGGAGGGGGGTTTCAGGGTGGGCACCGAGGTGGGGATAGTGCTGGGGGTGCAGTGCAGGGGTGGTGCATAGAGGGTGGGAGGGCTCAACCTGCTCTGTCCTGGGAGTACAGAGACTGGGGGGCAGTGGGGTGAGGGTCTGGGGTGCTTTGGGGTGAGGGAATGAGAGTGGGCCACAAAGTGGTGAAAGAGTAGGGAAGTTCATGGAGTATGGGGGGAGCTGGGGCCTCCAGTGGGGGGAAGGAGCTCTGTGGGCACTGGCTGCCCCCCCTTTCTTGCCCTCTGTGCGTGCCCCACTCACCCCCTCATGTGTCACCCCCAGCCCTGTGAAGTTCTCCCCCTTCGAGGCATTCAAGCCGGTGGCCCCAGGCGACCCCATGGAGCTGGGACCCCCCCAGGCCCCCCCACCCGAGGGCACGGCCCCACTGCCCATCAAACCCTCGGGGGGGGCCAAGAAGCAGAAGGGGGGCCGGGGGCGGGTGCCCAGGTAGGGGTAGGGAGGGTGGGGGGTTTTGGGGAGGGGGGGGGCCTGGTGCTCCCCATGGGGTGGGGGGAACCCCACGGTGCTGCTTGTGCTCTGGGGGGCTCATCCCCCTCCGGCACAGCCCCCTGCCCGCTGGGCTCGGGGGTGCAGGGAGAACCCCGGGGTGTGGCCCCCCCCAGGGATGTGCCCCCCCCGTGGGAGTGGCCTTTTGGGGTGCGGCCCCTCTGGGGCGCGGCCCTGCTGCTGGATGCGTGCCAATTAAAGGACTTGCTGAGGCTGTGGTGGTCCCTGTGCTGGAGCTGGGGGGCACACTGGGAGGGCGGGGGAGTTGCCCCACCGGGGTGGGGGTCCAGGCTCCACCCCCTCTGCGACGCCCCGCCCACTCCAGGCCCAGCCCACCGACCACACCCTTCACTGGCCACGCCCACTTCTCTGTAAGCCACGCCCCCTGGGCGGCTCTGCCCCCAGGGCTGCTCGTTTATTGGTCAGCGCCAAGCCGGGCAGGGCTCCTGCAGCCAATCAGGAGCCTCGGCTGGGGGCGGGCAGGGGACAGAGAAGGGGTCCCTTGGCTGGCAGGGAGGTGACACTGCAGGGAGGTGACAGTACAGGGAGGCGACAGTACACGGTAATGAAAGTGCAGGGAGGTGACAGTACAGGGAGGTGACACAGTACAGGGCATTGACAGTACAGGGAGGTGACACTACAGGGAGGTGAATCAAAGGGTGGTGACATCAGGACGGTGATGTCACAAGGCGGTGACGTGTGGCCGCGCGTCCCCCCAGGCCGCTGTCCCCGAGAAGGCGTGCAGGTCACTGAGCAGGGCCTCGGCGCTGCCCCCCGCCACCTCCCCCTCACTCAGGGGGCTCTCCCCGCCCTCTGGCGCTGCCTCGGCCTGCTCCTCTTCCTCCTCATCCTCCTCCTGCTCATCCTCCTCCCCCTCATCCTGCTGCGGCCGCCGCTCCAGGCTCCAGGGCATCAGCTCTTCCTCCTCGTCCCGCACGGCCACCTCCGTGTCGCCGTCCCCGAGGGCCGCGGCGGGGTCCCCCGGCGAGCGCAGCCGGTGCCACTGTCCCCGCAGCAGCTCCAGCGCCCGGCGGCCCAGGGGCCGGGGGTGGTAGCGGCCGGCCGAGAGGCGGCACAGGTGGTGCCAGGCCAGCGCCAGCCCCAGCGCCAGGCACAGCAGGAGCCCCAGCAGCGCGGCCACCGCCCGGTCATTGCGGGCCACCGCGGGGTCCCCGGCCGCCGCCGGCCCCGCCAGCGCCAGCAGCAGCGGGGGCCAGCGCGGGGCAGCCTGCGGGGGAGGGCAGCGCGGTCAGACCGCACCGCACGTGGCTTCCCGGAGCTGGAATGCAGGGAAGGGCCGGGGCGAAGGGCAGCGGGGACGGGGGGCAAGGTACGGGGAGGGGCGGGCGACCCGCGGGGACGGAAGCCGTGGGTGGCGGGTGCGGCAGCACCTGCAGGTGCTCCGGGAGAGCAACCGGGTCCTGCCACCCCACATGGCTGCACAGCCCCCCTAGAATCCCTTGCCCCTGCCCACATCCCCCGCCAAAGCCTCAGGGCCCCCCCAGGGCACTCGCAATCTTCATTGTGGCTGCACTGCTCCCAGCCCTACCCCAAAACCTGACGCACCCAAGCCCACCACGCTCCCCTGGACCCCCCCTCCTTCCCCTCCAACCCTGCTGTGCTCCCCTTATCCCCCCAAATATTCCAGACTTCCCTTACCCTCCCACTCCTCCCCAACCTCACCCTGGCTCCCTGATCCTGCCTTCCCCAACCTGTCCCCCAGCCCCTCGGCTCCCAGCTCACCAGTCTCCCACCCTGCCCGGTTTTGGGGTGCTCACCATCAGTGGGTGCAGCCAGAGCGGGTCCCGATGCCACGGGCGCGCTCCGAGATGGGGGAGCCCCCCCCAACTTCCTGCCCCACGCAGCGGATGTGCCAGAGCGGGAGGGGGCCCGAGTGCTGCACCCCCTCACCCCTGCTACCCAAAATGCCGCCCCGTGCCCCCCCACTTCCTGCCAAGGCGCTGAGCTCCCACCCGTGACCGCTGCGCCTTCCTGCCCCCGCTCTGTCACCCTGCAGGTGGCCCTGCAACCATCGCTTTTCTTATAAATCCTTTATTTGGAGTGAAAATATAGTTTTTGATCTTGCACTGGAATGGAAAGGGGGGACACAAGGAGGAGAGGGGAGGAAAATCCCCCAAAATATAGGGGGGACAGTATTTCACAGTTGAGGAGGGTAGATCATGCCCTGCCCCACAGAAAGGGGGGAGACCCCACACAGGGACTGAGGGGTGCAGGGGGTAATCTTTGATCCCAGGAGGAACCCCCAGCCCGAGGGATGGGGGGCAGGGGTGGAGAGTGGTCCATGATTTGGGGGGACAGCACCCAGTAAGGCAATGGGGGGAAGCGGGGAGCTGCCAGAGGGGCAGCCAGCCCCCCAATGGTAGAAGGGCCTGGAGAAGGGCAAGGGGGAGCACCCCAGGGGGGCGAGATGGTTCAGGGGGGTCCCTGGGGTGCAGGTGTAGTCCCTGGGGCGGTGGTCCCTGAGAGGGTCCCTACACGTGGCCGTTCTCGAGGCGGCTGAGCTGCTCCTCCAGGCGGGAGATGCGCTGGCCCTGCTCCGCCACCAGCGCCCGCAGCGCCGCCACCTCCTCCAGCACCTCCTCCAGGCGACCTCCCTGGGGGACAGCCCCGTCAGGGGACACGCCCAGCAGAGCCACACCCACTGCTTATGGCCGCACCCACCTGCCACACCCACCCATCGCCCACCAGAGTAACCGCACCCACTGCACAGCCCCACCCACACCGACCACACCCCCCTGTCCCCCTTGTCCCCCTTGTCCCCCTTGTCCCCCCTGTCCCCTTACCGTGGTGCTGCCGGAGTCAAGCACCGGGGGGGCACTGAAGCGAGTGGACGCGGGGGCCGCGGGAGGTGGCATGGTGGCCCCGCTGGCGGCGGCGCCGGCGGCGCGGCTGTCATGTAGCAGCGTGCGCCGGCTCACCTTGAGGTCCCGCTGCTTGCTGGGGACGTAGGCCTGGCGCAGGGACACCAGCACGGGCCCCGCCGTGCGCCCCGCCACCCACTCCTCCGCCTCCATGGCCGCCTCGGGGCCTGCCGTGTCCGGGTACAGGTCGTCCTGGAACAGGTCCGACTGCCCCCAACAGCGTCAGAGAGGTGGCATCCTCAGGGGGACCCCCAGAGATGCCACGGGGACACAGCCTCACTGGGGACCCCCCATTGCTCCCATATCCTGCCCAGGAACCCCACACGGCCCCGTGTCCTGTCGGGTGACCCCTCTCAGTCCCCCTGGGGACTCCCACCAGCCCTGCTGGGTTTCCCCAGCCCACATCCCCCTATCCCCACCCACCTTCCTTGGCACGGTCATGATGATGGGCTCACACTTGCGCTCGTGCAGCTTGTAGAACCTGCCAGGGGAGCAGAGGGGCTCATGGAAGGTTTTGGGGGGATCTGGGGGTCCCTCACCTCGTCCCTCTTGTCCCCGTGCCCACCTGGCAATCTCGCACTTGCTGACGTCCAGCCCGCGCTTGGGCATCCAGCCCATTCCCCGCTGGGGCTCCTTGCTGGTGAAGGTGTTGAGGAAGTGGATGTAGGGTGGCTCCTCGGTGATCTCGAAGTAGCGGATGCTCGAGTCGCCCTGGGGACACGCCGTTAGGAGGGACCCTGGCTCCGGGGGTGCCACCAGCAGGGTGGGGAGCTCCGTACCTTGCCGCAGACATAGACCACGCTGGTGTCGGGGTCGTAGAAGGGCAGCAGAGCCCCGTTGCTGGAGTCCAGCTCCTGCAGCCCCATGGGCTCCTCCAGGTTCTCCTGGGGTGGGATGAGGTGTCAGGCACGCGGGGAACACCAAAATGGTTCCGGGGACCCCCGGGGCGCCACTCACCATGTCCCACAGTGCCAGCTGCCGCTCACTCATGCGGCTGAAGCCAGTGGTGAAGATCTTGCCGTCGGCCAGGAAGATGGCGCGCATGGGACGGGCTCCCTCGTGTGCCCGCTCCTTCTCCTGGGGGGCACGGCTGTCACCGGTGCCCGCAGCACCCCAGGGACAGGCACCGAGGGACAGGGGACAGCGGGGACAACCAGGAGACAAGGACACCCACGGAACACGGGACAATGGGGTGTACCAAGGGACAGGAACAGGGAGCAGGGGATTCTCCCCAAGAACCAGTGCAGGGCAGCGCCCTGATGACACAGGCCCGCCAGGGGGGTGGGGACACTCACGGCCACCACGGTGCCACGGCGGGGGTCGATGACACGAACGCTCTTGTCCTTGCAGGCGGTGCAGAAGTGGGAGCCATCACGGCTCCAGCTGACGCTGTAGATAAGGTCGGGGTGCAGCCCGTCCAGGCGGTACAGCTCCTCCGCCGTGCCCACGTTCCAGATCAGCACCACGTTGTCGCAGCCTGGGGGACATGGCAGGGGTCACCTCGGCCGCGCGGCCCCCTCCACGTGCCCGCCGTGTCCCCCCGTACCCGCGCTGAGCAGGACGTTGCGGGCGGTGGGGTGCCAGGTGACAATGCCGACGCGCTTCGAGTGGCCCTCCAGGACCACCACCGGCTCCGTCAGCGGCTGGCTCAGCCCGTTCTCCGGGATCTGCCACACCTGAGGGGACAGAGGGGACAGTGAGCAAAGCGGGATGACCCCTGCCACCCCCCAGGATCCTGTGCCGCCCCTCACCATGACGGTGCAATCCTCGGAGCCGCTGGCGATGACGTGGTCATTGTGGGGACACCAGTCGATGTCGAGGACGGGGCCCGTGTGGCCGCACACCGTGGGGTACGACTTGTCGATGCGTCCGGTCTGGGGACGAAGCGACAGCAGGCAGGGGTCACCCACCAGCACAAACCCCCATTTCCGCATCACCGCCCCGCTGTCACCTTGTGCAGGGGGAGGACGAGGAAGGCGCCGCCGCCGCTGGCCTCCACGATGATGGCGACGAAGGAGGGGTTGACGGCGCAGAAGGTGCTGTCCCAGGTGACGCGGGACACGCGGATGTCATCGTAGCACTGGTCCGTCTTCACCGGCTGCCCGAACACGTGCCGGAATTTGCTCTGCCGCACCACCTTCCGGAAGGACATGGCTGGGGAGCGCCCCGGCCCCGGTCAGGTATGCTGGGATACCCCAAAAGGGGAGGCAGGGCCACCAGGGAGGCGGCCTGGGAATAGGGTGTCCCCCGAACTGGGTTTGTCACTGTTTTCCACCGCAGTAAAGGGTGGCTCAGCCACTCTCAGGAACCAGGAACTGGGGACACACCCCTGTCCTTGCCACCTCCCTGAAGGGAAGTCAGGAAGCACCCCAGGAATGGGGACTCTGAATGAAACAGGGAGTGTCCCATTCGGGATGGGGACAAAGACAAGGGTGTCCTCCTGGAAACACGGGTGGGGATGGAAAGGAGGGCAGGGACAGCTCCAAGAGATCAAGGGACAGGGGTGGCCCTGCTGGCTATGGGGTCAGGGACAGGGAAAGGGATGGGGACAAGGATAGGGATGGGGGGCTACGAATGAGGACGGTGGTGGCCTCATTCTGTACGGGGACAGTGACGAGGACAGGACAAGGATGGAGACAGGAAAAAGGATGGGGACGGGGGCGGGGTCAGGAATGGGGCCGGTGGTGGCCGCGCTTGGTACAGGAACAGGAATGGGGACAGGGACGAGGATGGGGACATGGACGCGGAAGGGGATGGGGTGGTCCCGCTAGGTATGGGGTCAGGGACTGGGAGAGGGACAGGGATGGGGACGGGGACAGGGGGTGGCCGCGCAGGGAACGGGGATGGGGCTGCCCCGGGAAGGCGGATGGGGGCCCCGGGGGACCGTGCCCGGCGGGTCGGGACGGGGGTCGGTGGCCGGTACCGGTGCCCGCACTCACCGGCGGGTCGGAGCCCGGGGCCGGTGCCGGCGTCGGGAGCGGCGGCGGCGGCGGCGGGGGCGGGGCAGGAAGTGACCGGGGCCGCCCCGCGCCTGCGCGGCCGCGGGGCGGGGGCACCGGCGGGGCGGGGGCACCGGGGCGCCCCACGGACGGGAGCATCCCACGGA